CAATGAATATTCGGCACAAAATGACAGCAAAATTAAAATTGAATTCAAAATAAGTCAAGAATTTCATTACAATTCTGACAAAAAGTATTCATTCGTTGACTTCATGTCAAACATCGGAGGACTCATTGGGTTGTGGTTTGGGATGTCATTTATAGATACCAGTGCTCTCATTAGACTCGTATTAATTTATATAAAAAAGTATATTAATATTTTACTTATTCTAAGATTTCAAGCTTTAATAACATATATGAAATTAGTTATAGAAAATCTTTTAAAATACAAATGGAAACGAATTGTGAAATTCATTACAATACCTATAATATGTTATCAAATGTATGTATTAATTGATAATTACTTACAATTCTTGACCCAAACCTCAATACAAATGATTGCATACAAAGACATCTCAAATAATAACCGCATTTCCCTTCAAACGATTCCTTCAATGACTTTATGCTATGAAAACACATTTAAAGACATTTTATTTGATCTCTATATTAGACAACATTTTCTAAATATATTCAATAAAATAAACTTTACCCAGCTGGATACATTGGAAATAAATTCGAGCGATGATTATATTAATAAATTTATTTTGTATCATTATAATTTTGTCAATGAATACTCCAGGCTTGGTTGGGCTTATCGGGCTGAAAAGAAATATAGTGCTGATTTTATGCAAATGTCATTGCGATATATTAATGTCAATAATTATGAGGAATTTAAGGACAATTTGTTAGTTATTAACGATAATATCATTAATTCAACACTATATGAACTAGGTGTCTATTCATCAATAATCCTTTGTGGAATAAATGATTTAAATTGTGAGCAAATAACACCTAAATTTAATATATTATCGTATTTTGGCAAATGTCACACATATTTTTCGAATGTTAAAAACTATGACTCAAAATATAAATATTTTACAATTTATATAGGTTTTGGTGAGGAAATACTTTTTAATGAAAAAGATAATAAAAAAAGATTTTTCAAAAAGAAGTTTATATTGCATTCACAACACTCTTTACCACTTATTACTGATAATGTGATTGAATTCAAAGACAACCCAAACAGTGAAATGAAACATATTAAAATAATTAGACATTCATTCAAACGATTGCCGAAACCATACGAAACCCAATGCTATGAATATCCGACAAATGAAACACAATTTCATTGTTTGAATAAATGCTACGAAAAGTCATATCAGAATCACTTCCAATGTATTCCCAAATATAATAGTTTACTAACCATTCGGTTATACGACGACTATATTGACCCAAATGTCACGTTTTGTTCAGATTTTTATATAAATAAGGAAAATGAAGTCAACTATAAATTGAT